CAGCAGTGCATTGAATGATGACATTTCCCAGGCTCCTGGCTGTCAGGAGCGTCTATGGGATTCCCTTCGGTCGAAGCAGACAGGAGCAAAAGTGTGTGAACTTCCAAGAAGAATTCTTGGAGCAGAAGGGGCGGGCAGTCCCTTCCTCTCACCCTCCTCCTCCTGGCTGGAATGCAGTTACGATGGCAGCCACTTTGGGCTATGAAAGGACCTTGTGAGAATGGCAGTCAAAGATGAATAGAGCCAGGTGTCTGATACCAGGAAGAACCATAACAGCCCTAGACAATCTACTTTGAGCATTTTTAAAAACTGTGTGACAGAGATAACTTCTACTTTGTTTAGGACACTATTACTTTGAGTTTTTTATCATAAGGAGCAGGACTTAATCATGATACACATGCCTTTCTCTACCAAAAACAAAACAAAACAAAAGAAAGAAACTTCCTCCAATCAAAATGCCAATGAAAATTCCACTGGTGACCAATAATGGATAATCTTCCTTTTCTATTTAGGCCAGGGTTCCAGCCAATAATTGGCTCCCAAATGCTATATCCCATAAAAACACACTCCTTCCCATACACAAAGCAACAAAAAAGGAGACACATCAAGATTGCTCTGAACTGCCTATCTGTGGGCTGTGGTCTGAGATCCCTGCCAAGTCTATCCCCAGTTGGAGTTCAGACAGCAAAGACCAATACAGACCATGGAGGACAGGGGACATAGCACTACCAGGGAGAGCGCATCCACATGGGATAAAAGGGTCATTTCTGCATGGTGATGGCCATCCTGTACTTTTTTCTCTTGCTGCATCTTTTCCTTGAAGCTGTCCTCCTGTGCTCCCAATAATCTCAGTACAGATGTCAATGAAATCTCATAGCCCTCCATCTCCCAATCATCAGAATGGATGGCAACTGGCCAGTCAGGGAATTCTAATTCCCATTGCAGTGATTGCTTCAAGGATGGCTGTAACCCAAGAAAAACCAATTATAATTATTTTCTTCAGAGAGTGAAATGTATGATGTGTGACACAGAATGTCTCTCCTTCTGAGATAGTCTTACCAAGTAGGAGCTGCTCAGGGTTGTCTTTATATCAAGTAGAGAAAGCCTGTCTGAGAATGAAGCCAATGAAATACTAAGAATGTCAAGGTTTGTTGAGAGAGAGGCAGTACCTTAATGACTTGGATTTAGCTCCTGGATCCCACCATACCTGAAAGAAACCCAGCCGTTTCACTGCTTATGATTAGGAAGAACATGTATTGCTCACTCCTGATACTGCTTTGTTCATGAAGGGCATTAGTGTGTCATTCTTTACCTCACTCACTCCTGTCCAGGAGTTGAGAGGGAACTTACCTAATTGGTTAAGCTAGGGGAAAGAAATGGCCCGCACAGCTTAGTTCCTCCCTTTCTTTTTGGGACCTATCTGGCTGGAAGAGCACACTCTCTGTTCCATGTTCTAAGTCTTTCAAGGATGGGCCCTGTCAGAGAGGCCATGACTAGGTGGCAAGTTCAGTTCAGGAGAACAATCTTAAGAGGTTCTCTTGGCTATCAGACCTAAAGCCAAAATCTCCTAGTAGTCTTTATTCACACTAAAAGTGATCATTTTAACCCACCTCCTCCACTTGTGTATCCATCTCTTGATTGATTTCAACTTTGGCTGGAAAGAGGAAGAGGGCCCATTACTGGTGCCCTCAGATCATGAGGGACAGGAGCCAAAAGTTCCCCTTTTGCTTACACTGCTTTGGATGCAGTTTCTACCTCTTACATCCCAGAGAGTCCTGATCAATGCAATTTCCCTGACCCTAATTCCTGAACGTTGTCTTTTTACATTCCCTATGGTAATATTTCATTTTTACTTAATTAAATACGTTTCCCTTTCTCAGAGTAGAAGTTAGGGTGTTCCCTCATTTTTAGGTACTGGAGGCTGGGATTCTCCTAAACTGACAAGAGTGGCGTAAATAAATAAGACCCAGGGCATGGGACTCATTCCCTGCCACTATGAACTGGGGGTGGGGATGGAGTGCGATAGGGACATCCCGAAAGGGGCCTCTTGTCTAAAGTGATTGTGTTGATGGCCCAAGTTCGTGGCCTCCCTACATTTATGTCTCTATCCTAAAACTTTGAAGCCCCCTTCCACTCTGACTTTGGGCTTAGCTATGTGACTTACTTTGGCCAATAGGATTTTAGGAGATTTCCAACTTAGAGAAACTGCTCGTGTTTTCCATTTCCTCTCTGATTACCATGAGAATGTGCCCTGCTGGCCAGCTGGGGATGAGGTACATTGAACAGAGCTAAGGCCAACCTAAGTCAGCCAGCTGACCACCAGACATGTGAGTGAACTTCAGCTGGCCCCAAGAAGGATTACTAAGATTAACAGAATAACACAGTTCACCTATAGGTTTGTGAACTAAGGAATACTATTATCTTAAGCCAATGTGTTTTGGGTGTTTTTTAATGCAGCATTATTACAGTAATAGTTGACTAACACAGGGCCCCTTTTCCGCAAATTGTCAACAGACTGGAGAAGGGGTATCACCCACAGTGCCCAGCATGGTGCTGGGTAATAAAGCGCATTTTGTTTACAATCATAAGTTCCAGAGCCAGATGGTCAGAATTCAAACTTCAGTGCTGTGATTGGCTAGCTTTATGTCTTTGGCCAAGTTATTCCATCCTCAGTTTTTTTTTGTTTTGTTTTTGTTTTTTTTTTAGGTCTTAAAATGGGAATAAAAATGTGACCTACTTTCTATGGTGGTTGTGATGATTTAATGAGCTAATGTATGTCAAGTGCTTAGAATGAAATAGTTTTCAATACAGATGAGCCATTACTGGGTGTTTCTGTCCATCTCCTTTAACTAGACCTTTACCCTCCCTCACTCCTAGGGGGCAGGAATGTCATTTCATACCACTGTCTGACCCTGTCACCTGGCTGAATGCCCAACATGGTAAATATCCATTGCTTGCTGAATGTCTGGAATAAAATTAGCACTTTTATAGGTACAGATGAAAATTTCAATAATCTATTTCAACTTAAGGTCAGTATCTTTGTTCATTTTATGGAGTGCACATGTAATATTTATCATGTTTTGTAACTTCTCCCTTACTCCCTACTGTGCTATGAAATAAAACTTTAAAACCTTCTTCACTGTCTGGCATTGGCATGCACTGTTCATTCCAAATGTACTTAATTGAAGCATTTCTTAAGAGTTTTTCCCAAGCAGAGCCAGATGGGGTGCGGGTTACCCTCCCAGGCCAGTAGAGACAGAGCTGGAAGGCTCACCCTCTTCCAACAATGCACAGCCCAGGTGCTTTCTAGAATCAGATCCCCTTGGTTCTCTCTCTTAGTCACCTTCTTTTTACTCCAGAGACTCTGCCATCTGACAACCACCTGAACCAAAATTTAGTTAGTTTTTCTCCTCACTGGCCACATGGGAAGTCACCTGGTACAACAGACACTACTTCCCTTTCCTGGTATCTCTCTGTGCACAAGGGGTGTGGGAGGAAAATCCTCCTTGGGTTCCAATCCTTTGGTTACTAATGGGTTTAAGACTGGGGGTGGCAGTTATTAACCAGGGTCCTCTGGAGAAAAGAGGGCTCAAGTCCCAGGTCCATCACCAAAGCCATAGGCAGAATTTTGTGTGTATGATCACTGCATTGAAGAAAACACTATCATTTCCATCATATATTCAAAAGTTTCTACAAATCTCTATAAACGAAAACCCACAGCTTTGGGAAACAGACTTCATCTCTGTAAGCCTCAGTTTCTTCATCTACAAAATGAAGGTAAAAACAATTACCTTCTCTGACTTCACTTTAGAGAAATATTATAAATAAGAAAATGAATCTGATCCATGAAGTGCTAGACAAATACAGGCAATTGTTAACATTTCATTATGCCATTTGTTAACTCAGAAAATAGGTAGTGTGAATTTCAAAAGATGTTGCACAAATTGTATATGTAATTCTCAAGGTTTCTCCTGGATTTGGACATAAGTGAAATTTAGAGCTAAAATGCAGAGTTCTCAGTAATGAGGACAGCAGATAATACTACGAACCTCATCCGCACCATTAATTCAATCTTCACAATGGCCCCATGAGGGAAGTTTAGGTCATTTCCTTTCTATAGCCGAGGGTTCTGAGGCTCAGAAGGTTTAAAAAAATTGCTCAAGGTCAGACAGCAGAGCTGGATGTGAAGGTAGTGCTGGTTACCTTCACATGCCTAACTAACCATGGCGCTGTCAACTGCATCTCATTTGATAAAACTAGAAGAATGAGAATGTGATTGTTTGTTCTGCATTGTCTATCTCTAGGCAACATAATTTTGCCTTTTCAGGGCTCTGTAGAGAGATGTCTCTGATTCCAAAAGCCAGGCTTTGAATCTGACTCAGCATCCTCCCCATTTAGGGCACTTAAAGAAAGCTACCTGAGACAACTCCCAAGCGCCTTTGAGAGCCTTATTTTCCTCTCCTGTAAAATGAGTGTATACTCCTTCCTCCCTCCAAGGACTGCTGGCAAGGTCCCATGGGTCATTGTGCAGAAGCACTCAGACCAGTGCCTGGTGGGATCTGGTGTTCATTTTGTGCTTACATCTTTTCCTTTCCTGGCATGAAAATGTTAAGACAGAGGAAGTCAGTGAAGGGAGAAGGAGCAGAAGGAGGGCCGCTATGCACCTAAGCCACTCAGAGATTTGAGATGGCTTCATCTTTGTGTCTGGAAACAACCAAAGAGGCGGTAGTGGGAGATGCTGCCCAGAGAGGACCTGCATCTTATCTTGCCTGTTCTGGCTTTTCCAGACTCCCTGGATGACTCTGTGTCCCCTGTCTGTCCTCCTAGCAAGGCTGTTGGGAAGATGAAATGAGAAGGTGCCCTATGACCCCCAGCCCAGTGCCTGCAAAAGGAACAATGACAGCACCCCTTCCTGTGCCCACTGGCCCAGGTCCCAGCATGCCTTGCAGTGCTGATCTATGCAGGGGCTGGAGCTGTGCAGGAAAGAGAAGGGCCCTCACCTTTCACAGCTCTCGCCTCGTTGTGCTTCTCCAAGAGCAGGTAGCATGGGCTGTCCGGGAGAAAGGGCAGGCTCAGCAGCTGGACAACGGCAGGGACCACAATCACTCCAAACAGGTACGGCCAGGTACTCTCCTGCGGGAGAAGGAGATGCTGCTGAGGGCAGTGGCCTCTGGTCATTGTTGAGGGGACTGAGCCACTGGACCAGGTGGTTTCGACCCTGCAGAACATCTTCCTGCCCAGCATGATCCCCACGAACAAAGGCTGAGGGAAGGAACTGAGCCAGGTTGGGCACCAGTCCTGTGTATACAGCATTTTCCATGCATGAGTCCAGAGACTCCTCAGAGTCCCCTGTGAGATAGTGACCTGGGTGGTGGCTCTGAAAAGCAGGTGGCTCAGGCTGGCCAAGGCCACTCAGGAGCTGCTTGACTCCGCCTCCCTGAGGAACCATGGTGAGCCTGGGGGATCTTAGGGTCTCCTTCTCTTCACCACCAGGGCTGCCTCCCAGGCTGCCCCGAGAATGGAACCTGCACATGGAGGTGACATGGGCACCACCACTAGACATCTAGAGGCCCACGACATTCGACCATCTCTGTCTTGTCAGTGGGGACACAAGGAGGGCAGCTGGAGCTCTTGCAGACCCCATGGGAATGAGGAAGAGGGAGCCTGTGGGGCACAGCTTACCCCTTAGGGAGAGGAGAATTTTCACGTTCCAGCCAGCTATGAAAGGCAAACAGATCCCTGTGACACGCACTATTCAAGAGGCACTTGACTCACTCCAAGCAGGGACATCCCCTGCAGTGCAGCTTAAATGCAGCCCAGAGCACACAATGCGATGCCCGTCAAGGTAGTGTTCTTCGTGATCTGCTTTCTTCCTACCTAAGTTTACAAATAAGCTCCCACTGTGCCACTGGAAGAAGAGAATCCCACCCACAATGCAGTTCCGATCATGAGGAGGAAAAACCAAGTCCTCAGCGCCACGTCCTTGACATGTTTATTTCCCAAGAAGGTACAAGGAGATGGCCAAGGGCAAAATAAGACACACTCAGGCCTGAAAAGACTTCATATGATGGGCAGAGGCTCTGTTGGCTTCAGGTGGGGCCCATGGGAAGGTGCCCTCAGGATCCTGGGGCAAAAGCACGGGCAGGGCCTGGGGACAGCCTCCCCACCTCTCCCCCAGCTGCCTGCTGGGAGTCAGGGCTTCCCTCTTCTGCTCTCTCAAGCCTTGCTCCCTACTGAGGTCCATGGTGATGGAGACTTTTGCAAGTTCTATGATCCCATGAGGGGACAGCAGCAGGGCCCCAGGCCCCAGAGTGAGTGGGGACGTGCCGGGGGCACACGGCCAGCAGCTGGTCCAGTCCTCATCTCCATCTAAGCGGTGCCTTAGATTTGATTCCCTTTTCTGTACCTAATAATAATTTTTATTCACAAAACTCCTCTGGTTCCATCAGCCGGCAGAGCCCTTCCAACGCCCTTTGAGGAACTGGCAAGGCCAATGTTGGCTTTCCATTTTCAGGAGGAGCTCTCGTTAGAAGGCTGGGAGGGGTAGGCTAGGGCTGCTGGGGGGCTGAGAGGGCTGGGGACAGAGGAGCGGGGATGACTTCTCATAGGTGTGGGGTTTCATCTAGGGTGATGCAAACACCCTGGAATTAGGGAAGGCTGATGGTGGCCCGACTCCACGAAGATACCAAAACCCACTGAGTTGTATACTTTAAAAGGATGAATTTGATGGTATGTGTGTCATAGCTTGATTAAAAAGAAAGACCAGGAAGTAAAAACCCCAACATACATAGAAGTGGAATTTCCACTAGGCCCGCGTGTGGTGTTGCTGATTTTATTTTCTCTAGGGGTTTCGCTCCCGTCTCAGTAAGGGTAAAAACAGGATCTGAGAAAACACAAGGGAACCAACCCCATGAAGCTCTTACCATGTGCCAGGTGGTGTGAGCCCTTCCCACAGCTGTCTCCTTCCACTGCACAGCCACTCGCCCCTCACACAGCTGGCACATTAAAGGTGTGGTGGGCGATTCCTGTGCTGAGGCCTCCCAGCCAAGAGCCACACAGGTGGAAATCGAGCCCAATCTTCTCCCACAGCATCATTACAGAGGGGGCACTTCCCAGGGGTGGTGTTTGTGGAGCTGCCACTGGGTGGAAGGGCACCCCCAGAGTAGGAACAGCATGTACAACCACACAGAGGCATGATCCGCCCAGGCTCATTGGGGAACAACAACTGTAGTGGAAACACAAGGACAGGGGACGCCGGAGATGTGGGAGCTGAGCTGGAGCCTTGAGCAGAAGTCAGGTCATGGGTGGCTTTGCTGCCTTTCCATGGCTCTTGGACTTGGCTTGAGGACAACAGGAAACTTTGAGGGGTGTATGCACTAGCTGAGATGGACACTCTCTATTTCCTTGAATCTACAGTTCAGTGTTTTTGGAATCTTACAGTCAGTGGGGACATTTAACATTGCATGACGTATTGCTGAAAGGCTGTTATCAAATTTGTGGCATAGCCTTTGATCCCTGGTGTCTTAAATAGAAGGACATGTGGACTCTTTCTCAAGGGGGGGTCACATGGGTGACTACGGTCTTATTTCTACCTCTGGAGAAAAGGCGGATTCTTTAAACCTCAGGGGGGCAGCCCCCGGATTGGGATGCCAACATTTCTGAACTGGGGAAGGACAGTGGCAGTGGCCACTCTGTACGCATCCCTGGGGTGAACAGTGGAAAAGGTGAGGGTCGGGAGTGTCCAGAGTGGAGCTCAGATAAGAGTTTACTCCAGAGGGACTGAGCTGAGCCAGCAGCGGCGTCTGTGAACCTGGCTTTTTCCACCAAGTGTTCAGAGATTTCCTGGAGATATTAGCTGGCTGCAGGGAGGGGTGTTGTAGTTAGGAGAGATTATTCCCCTCATCTTCTACCAAGAAAAGTGTGATTTGGTGTGTGGGTAGGTGTGTGTTGAATGAAGGGTTTCCACCCATATTATACATGTGGCCCACCCAGATAATAAAAGTAGCTTGGATGACCTGCACACACGTCATCTCAATGAGTAAGCCTGCCTCCCCTGCTCATTCACTCCTGCCCTGGGGCCACAATAAAGGCTCTGCTACGCCCCGTGCTTTATGGAAGAATTTCTGACAATGAACATGCACGTTTTCTCTCCCGATGACAGTGGTAAAGATGTAATCGCCATCAGCAACTCTTACTGAGCAGGGGCTTGCAGCCTGGGTCAGGGCAACCTAGTGAGTGGTTATGGGCACAGCTCTCTTGCAGGCGGTCTGGATTTGAATTCTGCCTCTACCTCCACTCACTGTGCCATGGGCAAGTTATTGAAATGCCTATGCCTCAGAGTTCTCATCTGTGAAATGGGGACAATGTCAGCACATATTCCTAGGAAGGATTGCTGTTGGGAAGATTTAGTCCATGAATGGATGTCCGGAGTACTGAGCACAGGCCTGCACACACTGTAGGTGTTCAACAGGAAAGAGCGGCTTTTATTACCAAGCACGTTGGATAGTTCATCAGCCCTCATCCTCACAACAGCTCGCAGACAAACAGCCTGTGATATCTCCACTATACAGAAATATTAACTGCGGCACAGAGGGGTTCAATGGCTCATTGAGGCCACAACTCGGTCATAGAGGCACGACTGGCCACCAAGTCTGGGATCCCAGAGTCTGAATTCAGATCCAGGAGGCCTGATAAGACATACCTAGTGACCAGAGAGGAGCCACAAGGCCACCAGACTCAGGGGAAGGGCCAGGAGCTTGGTCTGACCTTCTTCCACCTGACCCAGGCCTAAGACTCTCAGTGGCCCTCGGTGGAGCTCCTGAGCACTTGGTCCCAACACAGAGCTGAGGCCTCAGCATTTTACATTAGATGTGCATGGCCTGAAGGCAGAGACCTGTCAGCACACCGTAGCGGTTCAATACATGTCTATTGAAGGAAGAACTCAGCGCGAGAAAGGGCTTTCCTACACACTGGTCCCTTTCATGAACAGCCCTTGCCATTTTCAGACAGTGGCCTCTGAGTGTCTTTTTCAGGGGCTGTTAAAAAAGGAAGACATGTTTTAAAAAACCGCATATTACTCGCCTGACACAAGACCATGAGGTGCCACCAAATGACAACCTCAAAGATGAGTGTGGTGTTGGTTCAGCCTGCTGGGTTTGGTAAAGCCCTAGAGCATCCATCTAGAACACGGGCAGAGTCTTTGCACCTGCTATTTCACTCAGGAGGAAAGAAAAGAACCGTCTTGTTGGCCAAGGTGATTTTTAACTCCCAGTCAGGTCAGGTGAATGGGCTTTGCAATAACTCTATTATCTTGTTCTTTAATCTACAAGGTTTCCATGTTTTAAATAGACTTCTAGGTCATATTTCCCCCAAGCTACAAACTACATTAGTCTATAAATAATATCGTCCTGGACGATGATGAATCAGCAAAAGATGTCTAAGTAGAGTTGAAATCATTACTCTTACCCCAAGTCAAGTTCTTCTAAGGGTGTTCCAACAAGCTGATGGCCTCCAGACAAGGGAGCATGGCGAGGGGATTGATGCTGGCTGGGCCACTTATGCCACTGACAGCAAAAGGGCTCCAGAGGTGGCCATTGCTCCATGCTGCTGGATTGGAAAGAGGAAGAGCAAGCCCTACCTTACACAGCTATTTGGGGCATTAAATGAAATGCTCTTCTTTATATTTCTCATATGTAGGCTCTTATTCTAATAATGGCTGACATTGATCAAGTGGGCTCCACGTGCCCAGCTCCCTGCTAAGTGTGTTACAAATGTAACTTTGTGTTACCTAAGAACAGTCCAGAATGTTATCTAAATACAACCTTGATCTTTGTCTCCTTGTTTCTGTAAAATTTAATTCCTGGGGCTTTATTTCCCTGCCCCATTCTAGGGGCTCATGTCTTTTCTGCTCAAACTGAGCAGGGTCCTATCCTAGAATCACAATTTCAATTTAGACATCAGAATGGCCAGTACAAAATAATAATCAAAATCAACCAAATTGAATGGATTGACTGACACATCTTCCATCTCCCATACCCCTTCCTCCAAGCCTGCTTTAGGCTGGAAGCCTGCAGTGGAAAGAGGTAGGGTGGGAGGTAGATGGTCAACTTCTCTATTTCTCTTCTCCTTCCTAC